TGTCAGACTTGTTTTCTAAAAGCGAGACAAAAGTCCTCTTGGGAGGAGTGTGTGTTTTAGTTTTATTAAGAGTACATGTACATGTGTCGTCTACGACTCACAGACCTCACTGTGTGGTTGTTTTTTTTTTTTTTTTTACTTCTCTACTTTTAACCCTAAGAAGTGTTTTCAATATTTGGACACAGATGAGTAGTTAACATTGAAATCTCTTATCTATGCTGTGTTTATATTTGCAGAACTCTTAAAACCAAAAGAGACGCTTATGTCAGTCACCTAAATCGCATTTATCGCAACAATCTCGACAAGGTAATTTTAAATTCAAATAATTATTTCACTGTCTTCTCTCTGAACGTCCTTTCTCCTAAAATAACGGCCTCTTCTCTTTTACAGGCTAAAATCCAAACTATTCTAGGTCACGCCAGGTTCACTGATGATCCTGAGCCGACTGTGGAGGTCAATGGAAAAAAGTACACAGCGCCGCACATCCTTATCGCCACTGGAGGGCAGCCTTCTGTTATGAGTGATGCTGAAGTTCCAGGTCAGACTCTACTTGTGTTTTACTTAAAGAGTATTCATCTCTGTGTTCAACACTACTGCATGTTTTAGTATTCTTCTCAAAGAAAACAGTTTTTTACAAAATGGCTAAATAGTTGTTATTAATAATTTCAGGGGCCAGTCTTGGCATCACCAGTGATGGCTTTTTTGAACTTGAAACTCTGCCAAAGTGAGTTTATCATATAATCTCCAATGTGTTTATTAAAAACCATTAGGAACATTTGCGTTTGTGATTAAATAGTTGTTTTTTTCCCAACAGGCGCAGTGTGATTGTGGGCGCTGGTTATATCGCAGTGGAGATGGCGGGTATCCTTTCCACCCTGGGCTCCAAAACATCCCTCGTAATTCGACAAACAGGAGTAAGAAGCCACAGCACAAACCAGAACACTGCTCTGATTCTCAGTCGTGTGCAACTATGTGCTACTCTCGTGTCCCCTCTGCAGGTTTTGAGGAACTTTGACAGCCTCATAAGCTCAAACTGCACCAAAGAGCTGCAGAACTCGGGGATAGATCTGTGGAAGAACACGCAGGTGAAGTCTGTGAGTAAAACGGATCGAGGTCTGGAGGTGACGCTCGTCACCAAAGACCCCGAGAAGAAGAATGACGAGGAGAAGATCAGTACCATCCAGGAGGTGGACTGTCTTCTCTGGGCCATCGGCAGGCAGCCAAACACGTCGGGACTGAACATCAGCGGGACGGTAACGTAGACAAATGTTCCTCAACAAACAAAATGATTGAAAACAACAGCACATGTAACAAAACAGACACAGACAGGTAACTCCAGCTTATCACACTTGTCTACAATGGGAATTAAGTAGCTTTGGGCTCTGTGCAGAATTAACCATGTCATTCCTGAACACACAATTTATTTGATCCTCTACAGAAGACAGTGTAAAAACTGGATGAACTATATAAAAAGAGCTCAAAATAAATCAGGCATGGTGACGTCTTAAATCCATAATTAGCGATAATCTGGAGGAAAGATTAGACAGTTGTGACATAACAGTCTCTTGTTTGCCAGAGGTGATGAGGGAAACGTTGGTGCATGTAAAACGTTTCTCGAGGTTAATGTTCAAATAATGGATTATAGGGAGCAGGTTAAGTCTGGGTGAAGTCTCTTCCTTCTGTTTGTCTCAGCAGAGAAAAGTGAACGTTCAGATTGTCTATTGGAAGTGAAATAAATGTATAGATGTATCAATCTAATTCCACATATTCTATAAAACAAAGAATGTGGGTGACATTTCTTTGACATGTTAGTTTCCTCTGCTCAGCCTCCACACTCAGGATGACTCACTGTTGCTTTTGACAGAAAACCCATCTTTTCTGCACCTTCCTGTTATACTATGATGTGTCCAGTTAATTAATAATAATAATGATACAACAGTTAATGTGTGTGTTTGCAGGGTGCGGACACAGACGAACGAGGCCACATCATTGTGGATGAGTTTCAGAACACCAGTCGACCCGGGATCTACGCTGTCGGAGACGTTTGTGGGAAAGCTCTGCTCACACCTGGTAGGAGGCTGCGTTAACAATGCAAATCATTTCACAAACGATACAAACTGCAGTGATATTTTGGTCGTAATGAGAGTTTAGAGGCAGTTTTCTAAGACTAAAATTGTGGATAATGTTTTCTGTTACACTGTTAAACAGCAGAGCCGTGTAACAACAGGACTGTAATTCTAATACATTTGTCAGTCCAGGTGAAGATTCTCCATTATTAATAAGTCGGAGGAAGCAGGCAGTATGTGCTGAGTAACGTGTGTAAAGACAGACGTCGGACCTCTGAGGCTGTTGCATAGATCAGAACTCAGCCTCCATGCTCCTTCAGTCCCATCTGAAAACTACATGATCTAAATTTATTTTTAATTAATAACAGTGTTGTGGTTCTTAATGGAAAGTCGTGTTTCAGTCACAATGAGGAGATTGAAACAAAAATCGAATTCAATCTTATTTAAAGTTGGACTAATGTTGTGTTGTGTGTCGGGGTAGTTGCCATTGCTGCAGGCAGAAAGCTGGCACACAGACTGTTTGAGGGCAAGAAGGACTCCAAGCTGGACTACTCCACTATTCCCACAGTGGTGTTCAGCCACCCACCCATCGGCACCGTGGGCCTCACAGAAGGTGAGCACGAGATTTAACAAAAGATGGGGAGCAAATGAACTTTTCAGGACAGTGACATTTTCCAATATCTGTGTAATAATCTGCAAGATCGTCAATTTACATTTACACCAGATTTACTGTCTAGATAAAAGTTTCAGCTGATGGCAACACTGAGCCCAGTTTTCATCATTTGTTCATGTCACAGACGAGGCCATTAAATCTTGGGGGAAGGAGAGTGTGAAGATTTACAAGACTTCTTTCAATCCGATGTATCACGCCCTCACGAGCAGGAAGAGTCAGTGCATCATGAAGCTGGTGTGTGTCGGCAAAGAGGAGAAGGTAGGAGACGTCTGTCCTCCAGAGATTCAAGAAATAATTATTAAATCTATACAAAGCAAAAACTTTACCTTTGTCTTAAACGTTCTACAACTAGAAATGAGACATTATGATTGAGGCACGATTGGTTGAATGTGTGTATCAGCTGCTATCTTGGTACCGCAGCTCCATCCCCCTGATCGCTACTGTGCAGACTCTGGCTGTAGATGACATCATGGGGACAAGATGGCAGCTGTGTTATTTCGGCTTAATTTCTTGATTTGGGTCAAATACAGAAAACATCACGAAAGGCTCTTCAAAGCTTTGACATCCTGAACCAAATGGAACTAAACTTTTCTGAGTTTGACTTTGTTCTTGTTTTTGACTTTGTGTCGTTTCCTCAGGTGGTGGGTCTGCACATGCAGGGCCTGGGCTGTGATGAGATGCTGCAGGGCTTCGCTGTGGCCATCAAAATGGGTGCTACCAAAGCAGACTTTGACAAGACTATTGCGATTCACCCCACCTCGTCTGAGGAATTTGTCACGATGCGTTAATGCAAACACAAACCACGCCCAACCCCGCTGCCCTGTTCGACCAGTAACCCAGACAAGCATACCAGGACAGAGTCAGCACTCCGCAGCACTACTCTCGCAGCAGCTTGACGACTTGCTTTCCAAAACTACCTACAAACTTCCATTTTCTCTCATTTAAGTGACCTTATTTGTGAGCAGTGTTTCATTTTCCTCTTCTAGTTTTTTATTCTAAATTGACCAAGATGGAGTTGTGGTCTTTTTAAACTGTTCTGGATTCTATTTGAATGATTGTGAAATGGAAGTGATGGATCTGCAGGTGCTGTTGTCAAGTGATGGCACGGGAAGTCAAGGATCTCTCTCCTTGTGTATGTGTTTGATTTGTCAGTCGTTTGTCAGAATAATTTTACTGCTGCTTCTAAAGGCACCGATTTACTACCAATGCAAGGTCATAACCTATCTAATGTACTGTTTAAAAGATTCAATAAACCTTTTTTTCTTAGGTGTTGTCTTTGTTTTCTTTTTCTCGTGACTCAGCCTTTTGTTAGGGTTAACCCTTACCCCCCTAACCCTTCCCTGTTTCTCTTTGCACTAATCATGGGTTGGGCGATGAAAGAAGTATTTTGACAGAGGGAGCTGTGTTCCTGCTCAAACCCAAGAAGACTCTGTCAGGTCAAACTGTGAGAACAACATTACCTTAGATTATTGGTGAGAAGTGACAGAAATTAATAGTAAAGTTGGAACTATTTAGAACCATAGACTGTATATAAAGAGACTATATATTGTTGGTATAGGAATAATAAACACACTGCATAATTTAATCTGAATAAAAATATAAAAGACTATAGATTCACATTTGCATCTTTAAATTAAAATCAAAGCGACAATACCAGTGTATAGCTCATAAATAAAATGTATGCATCTTTACATACAGTCAATAAATAAACTTATCATTTAATGTGTATACATACATACTACACTTTATACATATTCATATCAACAGTTTAAATTCAGATGTATAAGATATTTTATTTATTTTACAGTTGATGTCAATATATATATATATATATACAAATATATATAATCTTTGAATATGTCAATAAAGAGACTTGATATGTATTAATATTTCATAAAGATACTTTATATACTTTATACACACTTGATATATCTTCACATTTATACATCTTTTAATTCCGTCTATTAACACACTAAATGTGTATTTATATTTTTATACTGGCGATAAAGACACTTACCTGTACCATATACTTTATATAAAGATACTTTATAAACCTTTACAGACAGTCTTTACAGACTCTTCATATATCTATCACATTTATACATCTTTGAATACCGTCTATTAACACACTAAATGTGTATTTATATCTAGATACTGTCTATAAAGGCGTGTACATGTACTGTCATGTACTATTGTCACTATAATGACCTTGTTTCCACGGTGGTTTACAGAATATCGCGATAGCTGTAGAAACCTGACGGAAGCCGGCGCGCTCTCGCGAGAGCAGCTCAGGTGTGTCACAGGTCACGTGTGTGTGTGTTTGTATCAGTCGGTTCTCTCTCGTCACTCATAGATTCTCAAAATGGACCCAGAAGGATCGGAACCAGCGGAACCATAGAAAGGTACCGACGGTTCTGAACGACACTGACCAACTCTGCCCCCGCGTGTTGAGCGCTGCTGCTGTTAAACTCACTCGCACGTTCACCAGCTCGTTACTTACGCCGGCTAACCAAGTTAGCCTCTGCTGCTAGCTAGCTGTAGCAGCGGAGCCGCTAGCTGACCTGCGGAGTGATTCTCAGAGATTTGAGCCGGAGACGAGTCCGCTGCGGGGGAGGTGAGTGAGCCTGCCTCCGTGTTAACTGTGTGTGTGTGTGTGTGTGGCTGCAGATGTTGGGAGGCGATGACTCGGAGTCGATCTGTGTGAACTGGGTTAGAGTGACATGTGGACAGCTAACGCCACAGTGACCGGCCGCCTGTGACTCCGCTCCGCAAGTTCCTCCTCTGCCGCTCCGCCACAGCGAGGATGATCCTCAGCCTGGCCCACAGACCGTGGCCTGTCTTCTGCAGAGTGTCCCTGCAGCACCGGGCGTCCCAGCCCCCGCGGAGCCCCGGGTTCCCCCTGCTGTGCTCCGGTGAGGACGCTCAGATTACAGACACATTATTATCACACGCTATGAGGCTCTGTAATCTGCTTTAAAGGTGTTAGTTCAGTGTTAGACGATCGATTGAACAGCATTACTCTCATGGCTCAATGAAATGATGTCACATTAGGTTGGGAGAACTTGTTTCCTGTTTTATAGACCAAGTTGATTCTTTGACAAATAAAATAATCGAGAAATATTGAATGAGACACACCTATGCCATCTTATGACACCACATATACATTCTATAGGTCAGGATTTTTGGGGGGGGGGATCTGCATCACAGAGCACTAAGATTTCAAAGATCCATTAATTATTCCCAGTGAAACTCACATTGTTAACGAAAGTGTATGAAAAGTTCCTGGATCTGTCCCTTTGTCTGGATTCCTTGTCTGTTCCTATTTGGCTCTTGTCCCCTCCACCCAGTTTTGTGGGAATCCATTGAGTAGTTTTTGTGTGACACTGCAGGTTAACAAAAGTACAGTGTGGGGCTTCTTTGCAGTGGGGAACAAGCTCACAATCATCACACATTGTGTTGCACAGGTTGGCAGAGCAGAAGCATACACAACCTGTGGTTCAGCCTGCCAGACTGCAGAGTTGCGTCTTTAGGACTGGGGAAGGTGCAGTACTACTCTTCATCTGGTGACAGTAAAGACGGTCCTCCAAAACCACCATTGAGTGATGCTCCATCAACCGAGAAGACCTCTCCTGGTGCTGCAAAAGGCCCCCTGCCTACATTAGGTGACAAACTAATGTTTTTATGGCCTGCAGAGGTCCTCAAGATATTCAGTGTCTGTTACCTTGTGTGACTTTGTTTTGTGTACTGGAGTGTTTACCATTTGCTCTGTTAAAGGTGTGACAACCTCATTTGTCTTATTTCAACCTTTGTCAACACAAACCCTGAGAAACTTTAGTTTACTTTGCTGGACACATTTTAATACTTTGTCCTAAAAGATACATAGATAGGAAAACAACAACGTAGGTTACTAACAATACAGTGAGTTAGTCTAATTAAGGGATAAGTAAATAAGGTAAATATGCACTCTACAATGGTACGTATATATTATACTATAATACATTGTAAATCAGTGGAGCCTCTTAGCGAATGTGCTCCGGTGTTTGAGCAGCAGGTCGTGGAGGGAATGAAAGATGTTCTACATGATGTTCAACAGTTTGTCCATCATCCTCCTCTATGACCAAAGTTCTGATCAGCCAGTCTTCATCATCAGTTTGCTATTTAGAATATTCTTTGTTGACTCATCTATTTGTCTGTTTAGCTTTCACACCTCAGGGCCTGACTAAAGCTGAGACCATTCAAGTGAAAGGTAAAGAACAATACTTCTACGTCCTTGAAACCTAACATAATTTTATACTACACATACCTGTACCTTTTATTTTTTACATTATTCAGATTGTGGGTAGGAATTTCTGGCTGCCAGAAGAGTGAAGACTAATGTTTTCAGATCTCTTAACTGTAATTTTGTTTTATTGTCATGTGCAGTTCGGGCAGTGCTGAAAAAAAGGGAATATGGAGCCAAGTACACTCAGAACAATTTCATCACAGCAGTCAGAGCCATGAATGAGTTCTGCCTCAAACCAAGGTAACTCCAAAGTAACTGTGACTTAAATATCCACTGTATCCAAGCCTGGCTGAGTGAAAGGTCTGAAATCCTCCTCCTCTGTTCAGTGTTAGCTGAGATGCTGACAGACCATGACAGAAATTCCTCAGAGTTAATCACTAAACATGTGATTAACTAATGGAAGGCTGCCTCACATCATTTAACACAGGTCCACTTCCTGCATCTTTTTCTCACCCCCTCGCTTCATGTGTTCACAGTGATGTGGAGCAACTTCGGAAGATCAGGAGACGCAGCCCCCACGACGACACAGAGGCTTTCACTGTGTTCCTGCGGTCAGATGTCGAGGCCAAGTTAGTTACAACCTCCATCTTTACATCCGATCACAACATTATTGCTTGAATCACCAGTTTTCATCACCTTGTTCTCTAACTTTTATTGATTCACGTATTTCTGTTTGTGACTGTCAGAGCACTGGACGTGTGGGGAAGCCAGGAAGCTTTAGCCCGAGAGAAAAATGTCAGGAAAGAAGTGGAGAGAGAGTTCCAAGAGAGTAGGTTTTGATCCATTTTGAACAGGCAGTAAAATCAAAGATTTTGACTTGATCAAAAGTTCAACATTTTGAGAAATACGGTTATTTACTTTCTGACAGAGAGTGGGAGAAGTCAGACGAGACGATGGATGAATAAGTCAAATTCAGAGGTTCTCATCGGCATATTTTGTGACATTAGCAGGAAATCGAGCTGTTTTCCCTCTGTTTCTAGTCTAATAAACTAAGCTAATCAGATGTTGAAAGATTGAGGGCATCAATCGTCTCTTCTGACTCTGCTAAATATTGTTCACCTTCAAATAACGATCATTTTAATAATCTAATAATCCAATTATTTTCTTCATGAATCAATTAATTGTTTGTTCAAAGTTCCCATCATAAATGTTTTTATTATCTCATTTTACATGTTCTGTGAAGCACTTAAACTTCAAGAAAAGTACAAAATACAATTTCTCACTATTGTATTGTTAAATTCATTTTCTTTTAATTAACTAATCATAGCAGCGCTAAATATGTCCCTCTCTCAAAAATGTTGAACTGCTTCACAAAACTTTAATGAACTGTTTCTCTGCTCTGATTGTTAGTTTTTTGTTCTTAGTGCATTTTATTCATTGATGAGTTGTTTTCATCTTGATCTTCAGATATATTTCGGAACCAACAGTTGTTGAAGGAATACAAAGACTTCTGGGGAAACACGAAGGTGAGCTCTTACCTGACATATTGTCTGATGATATAACAAAGTCAGGTTTCATATGAGTAAGAGAAAGTGAGCGTCAAAGTCGCTCTAATCACAGCAGGTGGTGTTTGTGTGGCCTTTGTCCCTGTGACAGAGGTCAGTGCTTTCATATGACGATGTCATCACCTGTGACATTCAGAGAGAGAGTCTTTACTGATGTTATGTCAGTGACCATACTGTACTGTTCTGCACTCTGGTATGTCATAGTATATAATCTAAACTCACCAGATTAAGTAAATTATATAAACTACATTGACTGCAGGACAGGGAATTCCTTTCACTGGGAACATAACCTGTATAAACCAGTCAGGCCCTGATCATACCCATTTCTTTATTCAACTTCAAATCCGAATAAGAATTTCACTTTTCTCTTCTCGTTTCTCTGTTTCATCAAAGCCTCGATCAGGCAAGAGGACGACTTTTCTGCAAGGGCCGGGGAAGGTGGTCATGGTCGCTATATGCATGTATGTTTTCACACTCACCAGTTTATCTGCATCTGAGTCTGAACTCGTTGACTTAACTGAGCTGTAGCGCACACACGCACACAGCAGGAGGTATTGGATTAAAGAGGGAAGAGTCAATTCTCAGCAGGGTTACTACGAGCAGCATGTCGGATAAGTGAGTGTCATGTTTGGGAAACGTAACAAACACTATTGACAGTTTTGACTCACACTAGTAAAGATATAGAAGGATGAAGAAATCTTGTATCAGAGAACTGCACCAGACTTTGTCTCACATGAGGTCGTGTTGCCTATTGGATTAGGATGATTGTGTTAGAGGACATGTGCCAGTCACATGAGCAGCACGGGTTGCACGGGACTCATTTAGTTAAGTGCTCATTGCATTCACTTTTCTACATGTCAGTTACAAACATGAATGTGAGGCAACAGTCCACAAAAATATCAGATACAAATTTTTTTTGCATAAAGCCTGTGATGTGACCATATGTAAAGAGTGTCTACACTTTTAAGAGCCACACTCTACCTGTGAGATTTTATGTCCTTTTACAAGCCTTTACTTTTCCTCTTTTTCCTCAGCAATGGGCTGAACTTCTTCTTCAAGCTCCTGGCATGGGTCTACACCGGGTCGGCCAGCATGTTCTCCGAGGCCATCCACTCTCTGGCCGACACCTGCAACCAGGGTCTGCTCGCCTTGGGAATCAGCCAGTCGGTCCGCAACCCGGACGCCGTGCACCCGTAAGCACTGCATCTTATTTAACTAGTGAAAGGAAGATGAGAAGTGTCCAAAGGATACTGAATCCTCCAAACACCAATAGAAATAAAAATATAAGTGGTCTGATAACTGAAATAATAAATTGGTAGCATCATTTTAACAAATAAACCAACAACCAGTAGGAGGGGCTCAGCTGTCACGGAGCCTGTTTGTGTTTTTCAGGTATGGCTTCTCCAACATGCGCTACATCGCCTCCCTCATTAGTGGCGTGGGCATTTTTATGATGGGAGCAGGCCTCTCCTGGTACCACGGCATCATGGGATTGCTGCACCCGGAGCCCATTGAGTCATTGTTATGGGTGAGTGTCTGGCTCAGCTACTGTCTGTAGTACAAGATAAATAAAATGACAACTGTGATGCATCATGTTTTGTTTCTGTGTTCCAGGCTTACTGTATCCTGGCGGGCTCGCTGGTGTCTGAAGGAGGTGCGTTATAAAAAAATGAAGTAATCTACGTTTGATGATGTTTTGGCAGATATCAGTTTTTTAACACCTTTTTGTCTTTCTCAGCCACGCTGCTAGTCGCCATCAATGAGATAAAGAAGAGTGCCCTTCATCATGGACTGTCATTTTATGAATATGGTATGTTTAAAAATAATCTGTCACTGCTCTGATCACCATTTGTCTATTATCAACATAAAAATGTGCTGAAGACCTGAATTCTGATTGACAGGAAATGCAAGATAGCTAAAGTATAAATAGAAATGTTCCTCCAAGCCGAACGCACTGTATGATCCATCTACTCTAAAATGAAACCAGCTGTTTTCTGTCATTGTGTCAGAAAAGGAAAGTGAGAAATCTGATAGTTTTCAGGTAGCTGCGGACGCATTTCGATCAGAATCCATTGTAGGCACATGTTGCTTACAAATCCAGATGTAAACGTGGTCTTGAACTGTTTAATGTGTCCAGTGATGCAGAGTCGAGACCCCAGTACTAACGTGGTTCTGCTGGAGGACGCTGCTGCTGTGATAGGAGTCATCATGGCTGCTAGCTGCATGGGACTCACCTCACTCACAGGTAAATGAAGAGACTTTGTTCAGTCTATCTAAATGTGCCAAGTCCATATATTTATTACATCTTTTTTATATGATCATATCTCTACTGTGATTCATTAGTCCTCAGTTGGTTTAATAAATCAGCCTCAGCGTGATCCTTCCCTCTGGTGTTTTTGTACTTTGGTCTCTCAACTGAATGATTCCTGGACGGTAGTCCAACTTCCCCGCTCACTTTCTGCCAGGTCCTCTCCTTATTCTATCTGCATCTATGTTTGGTTTGAAGGCACCATAAGACAAATATGGTCTTGTTTGTTCCCTCTCTCCCCATCCAGAATTATCTAGGGACCCTGGCACCACACCTACACCCTCAGGCTAAAAACATTGTTGTCATCTGTGATCCAGATGTGACATTTTACAAAAATATTAAAAGAGTTGTGAGCAGTTGTTATTACCAGCGAAGACATATTGCCAAACTCAAGCCCTTCTTTTCTCATTAAGAGAAGAAGAGTGTGTTAAATGCCTTAATTTTAATCACAGATTGATTGTCGCCTCTGTAGCCTTTGTTGATTTAATTTAACTTGTTTAATTTTGTAAAATGTGCTTCATGAATAAACTTGACTTGACAATTCTTCTCTCTGTCGTCGCCATGTGTGTCGTCCCAGGTAACCCGTACTACGACAGTTTGGGTTCTCTCTGTGTAGGCACGCTGCTGGGCGCCGTCTCAGCCTTCCTCATCTACACCAACACAGAGGCCCTGCTGGGACGCTCCATACAGGCTGAACGTGTGCAGAGGCTCACAGAGTTCCTGGAGAACGACCCTGCTGTAAGGTCAGAAAACACGCACGCACACACACACACACACACACAAGCAGGTGTTGATGTCAGGCCTGGAATCATTCATGTAAATAGAAGTAAATCCTCTCACCACCGGTTGAGCCCGACCCCTCGGTCCAACAGTGACTTTATACGTCTCCCACTGTTAATGGACAACGTTGGGGCTTTAAATAGACAAGCTGGTATTTACTGGTCTTCACACGTGAACTTCTTTAGGGACAGCTGTGAACAAAGTTCACTTGATTCACTTTAATCCCTCAGTCACAACATGAAGGACTAAGTTAAAAGCCTGGGTAAAGAATTTAAAACTGGGACTATGTACATGTTGTTTACAGGCTTCAGTTCAATTTAGGACGTTTTAAGAATGAGTGTGAGGATTAACCAATTAAAAAAACCCTGCTTTAAGGTGTAAGTAAGAATTTTGTTTCATGCCCAAGCTCTATAATAATGTTTTTTTCTTGTTTTCACATAAATCACATACAATAAAATTTCATTACTGGCCAAGGCATATAAGGCATATAAAGTTAAAGTAACATTTTTATCTGCCTTTTTGTAGAATCAAGGCTTTATAAGACCTGTAGATATCCTGTTTTTTACCTTGATGTGTTTTATTTCATTCTGAGCAGAGCCATCCACGATGTAAAGGCCACTGACATGGGGCTGAGTAAAGTTCGCTTCAAGGCTGAAGTTGATTTTGACGGCCGAGTGGTGACACGGTCGTATCTAGAAAAACAAGACATTGACCAAATCCTTCATGTAAGTTTGTTTTGTTTGTTCAGATCTATGAAAACAAGTATTTCTACATACTCTGTTGAAAACAAAAATGATGTTAGACACTTGGTATCAGTAACAGTAATGCAGGGGCACTTCTTTACCTGGTCTGCTTCATTTTACACAGAAAGAGTTTGCATTTCACATATGAAGAACACACAACATGAAGGGATGAAGAAGCCTCTGACTCAGTCCTAATGTTTATTTTTGAGTTAACAACAATACTACAAGATGACATCTTTGTCTGCGTCTTCTATACGGAAACTTCTCATAAGCTGGTTAATTGCTTTCTTTGTGACAGTTATTTAGCATTTATTTGTTTCATGTTTCCTTGCTTTTTATCTTTGCAGGACATTCAGCAAGTGAAGACGCCTGAGGAACTAGAGAACTTTATGCTGAAACACGGGGAGAACATCATCGACACGCTGGGAGCTGAGGTGGACCGCTTGGAGAAAGAACTCAAGGTACTGAAACTTTAAACTTGTCTTCGTTATAACTAGAAACTCCTCATTTTACCATTTCAGGTTATTGGAATTCATCAGAGGAGTTTGTTAGTGTTTCCAGACAGTGTGTCATTACTGTGTTCGGTTTCTTCACAGCAACGTAACCCAGACGTTCGTCACGTAGACTTGGAGATTCTATAATATCTCCCGGTGTCTGCTGAGGGAACATCCTGCTGTATGGAGAAGAGAAGGTGAAAGGACGGCCGAGTCCACCTCCTCGATCTGCCTCCCATTCTGACCACCTCATAACAAGCGTCCGTCTCTGCACAAATCATCAAGTCTTATTGTAGAATAGTCCAGAATCATGCGTACACGAGGACGACGTTCAGGCTTCTTTCATGTTGCCTGAACTTCAGTTAGCGACACCCAGAGTTCAGCCTGCCACAGATTCTCTCACACATTCAGATGTGGCTGTTTCTGGTTAAAGACTAAAGGAACTGTCATTAGTCTCGTTGGATTGTCAGAGAAAATTAAAGTCAGGGTTTTATTTTACACAGATTAGACAGTTTAGTCTTGTGGTTGTTTGCTTGAACTCGCATTCCTCCGTGAATTTATCTGGATTTATCAAACTCAGTCTAAAGCAGGACCAGTATCTCTTCATAGACTTGTACTCTGATGTTATGCTTGAACCACAGTGATAGTGTTTCCTTCATTAGTACAAGGAAACCTGAAAGCTACATACTGAAGCTTATTTAATTGGTAGACAATATTATATTTTTCTTCTTTTAATGTAAAAGCTGAGGAGCTGAAGTCACGAAGCTGCTGCAGCTTCTCTAGAGATGACAGAAATTATGGTGAATAGATTTTATTGACAGGACAGAAAATTATGCAAAGTAAAGATAGTTGGTTTCACTTGATTTGTTTGATAGAGCTGAGGACTGAGCTGATGTTTAATACAATAGCTTATGCAAAAACAAAAGGCTATAAGAAAACTAGAATATCATATTCCTGTGGCATTACAAAGACAAATTGAAAGTTTAACTAAAAAAGTTTATTGATTAACTATTTACTGGACATGTTTATCTTTGCAGAAGGTCAAATATTAAGAGTGAACATCTTCATGTCACCATGACATGATATTTGAGGCAGTGTCCTCTCTTCCTCCACAAAGCTCCTGAACGTTATCATTTGAGCTTTGGTTACTTTGACTTGTGAGGTTGTGAGAGCTGATCAGCAGATCATTGATTGTAGTGAAGATGAAGAAGAGGAGGATGCACTTAGTGTAAATAAGCAGCTGATGATGACGAAAACAAAAAAGCACCAAACAAACGGCCCCAGGTTTTAATCCAGTCCCTACATTATAATAACGTTGTTTTAATCATATAGGATGTCGCCCTGAACACTTCATGTACCAAAGTTAATAACCTCCCACTTTGTGTTTCTGCTGTTTAAAGCGACACAGACTGATTGTGTGTTTGTTTTCAGCACAATCACATCTGTCTAAACGTGTTCCCTTGCTTCAGGAGGTGGGCCACAGTCATTTCAACGTTATCGGTAGGGTGGACATATATTTTTGAAGGTGTTAATAATTTAATATTTACCTTTTGGTTACGATGAAATCGCAGCTGCTGAAGAAGTTGGAATAAATCTGAAGTAATTTATTAAAAATATTTTGCTTTGCCTCTCTGTCGTGGTCTTTTCTTACATGTTCACATCACTGATGATAATTTCATGTATGACATCACCAGGACTCATCCACTTCCTGTGATGTCTGGGGTCAGGCAGGATCTCTGAGGCTTCTGTGGTGTGTTACACTGATGGAGGAGTTATGGCTGATTGATGTATGTATCACCATAAATGTGTCATTATTATTTCCTTTGAGTCGAAAGGGTCAGTGAAGAACCGATCTCCCTAACATGAGCATTTTTTCCACATTGTCATTGATTTCCCAGAGAATCGTGGATCTTCATGTCCAATTATCAGACATGTTCAGAGAACTGACATCGATGACTGTGTTTAATCTGGTGCAGCTTGATAGAACTGAGTCTCAGTTGTTGAAGAAGTCATAATTTCACACGGTGGAAATTCTCGATCAAAAGCTTTGGAATATAGTAAAGTAGCCCACCAACATAAATACATCGCCTTGAACACTTCATTTATCAAAATACCAAAGTGAATAATCTCATCCATGTGTCAGTGTCACCTTTAATGTTACAGCAGGTGAAGCTGAGGTTCACTTTGTTACAGTTTTTGATTTCGACCATTTGTCTGAGGAAATCAAGTCAACAGATTCAACCATTTCCTTTGATGCCCTTTTTAAGATGAAAGCGTTTTCAGATTTCCTTGAGTTTGGAACATTACTGAGTGATTTGAAGTCATGGAAAGCTTAACAACAAATAAATGAAATTAGATGAATTAAAATTCTCCTAGAGATATAATTTACTTTTATTCGCTACCGATGAAAAGTATGTTATTGATATAACAGCGATAAAAGAACAACAAAATATCAGGACATCAACAAAACACTATTCAATAATCATCAAAATAAGCATAAAATCAACAATAGAGCTATAATTATCGCGATTCTTTTACTGCCCATCCCCACGAGGGAGTAAATGACCCTTTGTGGGAGAACCCCCCCCCACACACACACACACAACATCATTGCCCACATCTGGATCCGTGTCTCGTTGTTTGTGCATGTGCGTGTCTCTGTTTCCCTGTGTGAAGCTCAGCTGCTCGACTGGAATGTAAAGCTGAGTCCATTAGATGGTGCAGTTGTAGGAGAAGAGAGAGAAGAAGGAGGGGGTGCAGCAGCAGCAGCAGCAGCAGCAGCAGCAGCCTGTGCGCTGACGTCAATAAAAACAGTCATTTCCAACCAGTCTGCGCACCGAGCGACCATTCAAAACATTACGCACAGCACCGCGGCCGGAGCACGCTGCGACCCCTCCACCGAAACACGCTGGTTCTGATTGTTTCTGACGCGGAGCCCGGAGAGAGGAGGCGAGGCGGACGCACTCCACTGCAGGTTTTTCACCGTTCAATGTTGTCTGGGTGTTGCGCGCATTTCTTATCGGTGTCATGTCTCGTCATCTCCATCCCCGAGTCCGTTGTGCCGCTGCCCATCCTGTGTCCTCATGTCTCCACACGGAGAGAACGGAGGCGCGTGTGCACGTTGATTGTGTAGAAAAAGAAAGAAAAGAAGAATAGAATAACGAGCTGATTTTGGTTCATTATAGAGAAAAGGAACGTGTGTCGAGACGCGTCTGGAGGAAAACATCTCCATCCTCCTGCAGCCTCCTGCACATCTCCACCTTCATCCGTCTGGGCAATTTGGAAGCAGCTGCATAATAAGAATAAGAATCCCCGATCGTCTTATTTAAATATATGTTTTTCAAAAATTGGTCCTGTTTTCCCACTCATAATTTGGACTCTCCAGCAGCCTACAGATGGGGGCGCAGTAAACCTGCACAGTTGGGGTCTGAGATTTTCATGCACCCTCCCCTCCATCACCAGCCCGTGGTTACAAAACCCACAGCCCCGTTATTTGGTTTTCTCCTGTGCGCAATGCAAGAGAAACGGTGTGTGTGTGTGTGTAATCACATCCCTTTACCCATGCACAAAAACATAACCTCATTTGCCTGTGTGTGTGTGTGTGTGTGCATGTATGTGTGTGTCTCTGTGTGTGTGCTCGTTTTTGTTGGCATTTAAGGACATTTTTGAGCATAAAGACCTGGGACCGACTAATGAGGCAAGACTTCATTTCTAAGGTCCTGGTTAAGGTTAGGGTTCGACATGAATCGGTCATGGTTCATGGTTAATTGGTTAGGTTAGGTCTATGTGTGTGTGTGTGTGTGTGTGTGTGTG